GGTTTATTAATTTTTAGGAACTATTTGGTGCTGATTGATGATAAAAATAGTAGTATGATTCACAGCCCTTTCCTGTTGTTTTAATTGACCAGACTATGCTACACATTGAACTGTTTGACATAAATCGGAAGGCTATGGGGGCATGGAGTCCCAGGGTGGTGCAAACGGTTAGTGAGTTGGAGGTTCAAGTTCACTCAGAAGTGCCTTGGAAGAAAGACCCAATGACTAACTTCCAAAAGAGCAACACTGAAAACTCTATGGAACACAGTTTGACTCTGACACAGATGGAGTTGCCGTGAGTTAGAGTTGGTTTGATGGCAACAGTTTTTGTTGTGCTTTTTCACAGGGGCATGGACACAGAACAACCAAGTCCTGACCCACAGAAGAGCGCTGAGTGCCTGCACCTTGTCTAGTGCCCTTCGTGCCTTAAACAAGATGCCACACTTCTCCAGCAATAGACGAAATATTTAACACTCAATTAGAAGTACTTCTTACCGGAAGTTAGTATTGAAGTGTTTAGTATATAAGCCTAAAATATTGTAGTCAATGAACAATCTTTACGAAGCAATATTTGGCTTTGAAATTTAGAAAAAAATTATTACATATATTCATGGAGAAAAGTTTTGAAACCCAGCTGAACAAAAAGAGAAAATATTTTTCATAATCTCACCACCTCTGAGAAAACAGCATTCTCCTATCTATACTTCTAGTCTTTGCTTTCATCTTAAACAATATTATACTTCAAAATTTTCACCCACATCAGCTTGTTTCTACAAAGGTGAGCTTCTGAGAAACCAACTTCCCTTGTACAGACAACAGATTCTAGGGGGAAAAAAGTGGCTCACATCCTGGCTAACAGGGCATCATTGTTACTCTATCAGAATTGGTATAAAGCCTTCTTCAGCCAGAAAGACAATTATGTGGCAGAGGATCCATGAGTTTAGGGTAGGGGGAAATGACTTAAAAGCAAAATTTACTCACATGGAGAATATGAGGGAGCTCTGGTGGCATAGTGCCTAAGGTATCTGACTGCTAACCAGAAGGCTGGTGGTTCAAACCCACCAGCCACTCCTAGGAAGGAAGATTGGGCAATCTACTTCCATAGAGATACTGCCTCTGAAACCCAAGGAGAGGTCACTATGGGTCGGAGTCAACTCAACAGCAGTGAGTTTGGTTTGGTTTTGAGAGAGTATGATTAGGTATTTTACATGCCTTCTCACTAATTCTTACAACCCAAAAAGACCCAGATTTTAATCCCAGTTGTTCCTTATACACTAGGTAACCAAGGATTAGTTACTGAAAACTTCTTGGTCACAGTATCTTCATCTGTTAAATAGGGAAAATGTTTGTACCCACCTCAGTGGGTTCTTGCAAAGATCAAATGAATTATTACAACAGAAGTACCTGTCCTACAGCAAGGTTTCAACAAATGTCAGCAGTGTTATTATTGTGGTTGTGGATTGATGTGAGAAATATGAGATACTCTTGCCACTTGGGAATGACTATTAAAATAATTAGTATTACAGGAAGGGTTTGTTCTTAACCACCCATCTTTTCATTTGGTGATCTTCCTGGTTTTCCTCTAATCCAGCGCTGTTCCAAAGAACTTTCTGGGATGACAGGAATGGTCAATAATCTATGCTGTCCAATATGGTAACCACTAGCACATGTGGCTACTGAGTATTTGAAATGTGGCTTGTGTGACGGAGGAATTGAATTTTTTGTTTTAATTTTAATTAAATAGTCACAGCTAGTCCTTTGATTTCTGTGTGTTCCTACCCCTCCCTAGTCACCCTTGTTTTCTTTAGGTACAAAACAAATTCATTAGTAGTGTCTGTGACAAATGCCTCTTCATTCACACTATTTTGAAAATGATTGTTTTCTACATAGTACCTTCTTGATAAATGATAAAATACAATCCTACCAAACTCATTGCCCTCCAATCGATTCAGACTCATGGCAACCTCTCCTTGGGTTACCGAGGCGGTATCACTACGGAAGTAGATTGCCCAATTTTCCTTCTAAGGAGTGGCTGGTGGGTTTGAACCACCAGCCTTCTGGTTAGCAGTCAGATGCCTTAGGCACTATGCCACCAGAACTCCTATCTTACCATTAAGAAAGCAAAATCAAACTGGATATTTTTCAGTGTCAGGATTCTTTGCCAAGCAAAATACTTTCCACTAAGTATTTTGCAAACTTGAGCATGAATAAATTAATACCAAAAACCCACTGCTATCAAGTTTAACCTGACTCAGAGCAACCCCTCCTTGGGTTTCCAAGGCAGTATCACTACAGAAGTAGATTGCCCAACCTTCCTTCTAAAGAGTGGCTGGTGGTTCAAACCCACCACTTCTGGTTAGCAGTCAAATGTCTTAGGCACTACACTACCAGAGCTCCCGAATAAATTAATAATTTTCTCAAAAAAAATCTTGGCAGTTTAGCTCAAAAGGCTTCATTACAGCTCTGGATTGAAAAGAGAGTACTTCTGTTATCAGATACCTTCCTCACAATACACAGCAGGATAATTCTTGATCTGCTCCAATTCTATGTCTTCGGGGGCATTTCTGTATTTCCCTTGTGTAGTCTTCTTGCTCAGAGCCCCCTTCTAAGCCTCAAAATGACACCTTTGCCCACTATGTTTGGCCACTGGAGTCTGAACTTGACCAGAGTCCTTGAAGGTGGCCACCAAGTTGGTTAGCGTCTATGGGATTAGACCTCACCAAATGAGCATATATCCACTTTTCCACAGGGTCCCTGCTCCACTTGCTGTGTGTAAAGCCAATCTCAACTCCAGGTCCTAGATAAAGCCCCTAACACTTGTATCAAGGAAAAGCTATAAAACCCAAACCAATTGCATTAGATCCAACTAGCTCTTCCTTCTCTCCCAGGGAAAGGCTGCCACCTGGTGTAATACTTTAGCATTGTTCCACACACCCCCACCCCCAAGTCACTGAATATCCCCTTCCTCCATACAAATTAACGTATGCACCACTCCACCCGCCTTCACCTCTTGTGTGTCCGGAGTGTAAAGAGAAGGGAAAACCAGGAGGTATTCCTCTTAAGTGCCTTGATGGAGGACAAAGGCAAACTTATCCACATGAATGGTGCCCGGAAGGAAATGGCATCACCATAACTCTCTGAATAGAAAAGCAGACTTTCTTCAGCACTTGAAAGCAATGTTTGTCAAATTAGCTCATAGTGGCCTTCAGAGAATCTCTGCTGTGGACAGGCTTATTATTTCCTCAGCCCCTCTAGTTCTGTTTATCTTTATCTATTCTCCATAGCTCTGGCCAGTCTTTGCAGGTGAAAGGAAGAGAGAATAAAAAGTGATACTTTTCAGGATAGCATTCCTGAGTCCTGTGCCCCGACTTTCTCCTAAAATCCCAAGTTGCTCCTTGGAAGTCAGGCCTAGCACAATGCCTATCTCATTATAGAAAGGTTTGTTTGATTGCTTGTTCTCAGGCTTTGTGGGTCAGACAGTGTGCCCCAAGAGAAGGTAAAGTATTTTCAAAACTCAGGAAAAACACCATCTAGAATGAAGTGCCAGTACAGGGCCTGTTACTTTACTCCCCATGCTCTCTCGAGATCAAACAAATCACAGTTGCCATGGAGTTGATTCCCACTCACAGTGACTTCATGTGTGCAAAGTAGAACTGCTCCATAGGGTTTTCACGGGCTATGACCTTTTGGAAGCAGATTGCCTGGTCTTTCTTCTGAGGTGCCTATGGATGGGTTAGAACTGCCAACATTTTAGTTAGTTCACTTAACCATCTGCATTACTCAGAAATCCCTATAATCCCCAGCACCCCCTTATCCATTATTCCACAACCACCTTACACCATTTATCACCTATCAGCAGCCATGGTCTACCCACCACCCAACACACACACATAATAGGTTTAACTCACCCTTATTTTCCCAGCAATAAAGGTAGCATCATCTCCCTGGCCACCACTGCCATTCTGTTTCCTAAATTATGTCTTTTGTATTTCAGAACTTAGCAAACATAAAGAATTACTTAAGGATTCCAACATTGCTTAAGCTCAAATATAAATAACCTGACATTTACAACTAAATATTTAATATCCAACAAGTTTGCAATATAAGAAAAATAGGACCAAGAACCAATAATGCCTAGGCAAGAATAACCGAAGGCAGAATGCCTCATTGCCTGGCCTCAGCCATGTAGGATCTTTGTCATTGATGGCACCACTTTGCTGATAGAGATGAAAACATATGCCAACCTCTTAAGGAAGCTGACTTATTTTCCTCACTGTAAATCACTGGAGAGCTCTAGATTTTCACCCTGACATCGCCTGCCTGTATTCACAGGCAGGAAGAAGAAGGCTATGAAGCAGGAAATGACAAAAATGTTTTTGTAAGAGTGAAAGAAAGCTTAAAAAAAAGTGCATCAGTAGCCAAAGAAATGAGCCATTCTATAATCTGCTGCTGCTACACATTTGTGCATGTGTATATTATTTTTTAAGTAAGTTTTTAAAAATCAAAGTTACTTATTAAAATATTATAATAATGTTAAATGTTTAAAATCCTACTGCCTTAGCTTTCATTTCATTTTTCTGCCTCTAAAGCTTTTTTCATTTGAATCCATTTTATGTGGTAATAGATAAATTTTTAATGTCTTATACTATTCCTGGGGAGATCTGATGGCATAGTGCCTGAGGTATTTGACTGCTAACCAGAAGGCTGGCGGTTCAAACCCACCAGCCACTCCTCAGAAGGAAGATTGGGCAATCTACTTAGGATAACCTCCTTGGAAACCCAAGGAGGGGTCGCTATGAGTTGAATTGACTCGACAGTAGTGAGTGTGCTTTGGTTTACTCTATTCCTGTGAGTTGTTATATCATAATGTAATTAGATATATTAGTTAAAGACAATTTGTTTTTAAGCTTTTTATTTTAGCTCATACTAAATTAAGTATCTTTGGTGGGTGCAGGGAGCTGAGTGCTGAGACCCAGAGCTAAAGCTGAGAGACTGAAAATATGCAGACCACTGGGGCACTACTCATTCCTCCAGCACTGGTAAGCTGAGGCTCCAGGGTGGTCTGCATAGCTAGGTGTGGTAGCCATCAATATTTAATGAATGAACTGAGAGGAGCTTGGCATCCAGATGATGCTGGCTTTTGAGGGAGGCTACAGAATTTGATGCCGGTCCACTCTTGTACCGGGAGTCTAATCAGGCCTGTATCTGCCTCATTCCTGAGGAGGCCAGAGGCCATCCCATCTAAACAGCCTTCCTACAGCAGCTCCCCACTCCAGGTGGCCAGACAGGGGTTCCAGACCAGTGTTGTCTCCCAGGACATTGACATAGCAGCCAAGTTTATTGGTACTGGGGCTGCCACAGTTGGTGTGGCTGGTTCAGGGGCTGGCATTGGGACAGTGTTTGGCAGCTTGATCATCAGCTATGCCAGGAACCCATCTCTCAAGCAGCAGCTCTTCTCCTATGCCATTCTGGGCTTTTCCCTGCATGAGGACATAGGGCTCTTCTGTTTGATGGTCACCTTCCTTATCCTGTTTGCCATGTAAGGCTCCATGGGGGTCACCTACCCATCCCTGCTGCTTTGACTCCTGACCATGTCCCATGCTGGAGTGTGCTAAGTTTTGCCATTAAACACAATGCTTCTCTAAATCCAAAAATAAATAAATAAATAAAGCATCTTTGTAGAAAGTGCCTTTTTCCCTTTTTAAAAAAGTAGTCCACCGTCCAAAAGTGAAGAGCATATAATAAATTCTCAGCATATATTTGGTATATATCTCAGGCTGGGTTCTCTAGAGAAGCAAAACCAGTGAATTTTAGAGAGAAAGAGAGAGAAAAATTTATCTCAGGGAAATGGCTCACACAGTTGTAGAAGCTGGCAAGTCCCAAGTTCATGGGTCAAACATCAAGCTGAAAGCTTCACCTGACTCATGCAGCTAAAGGGGCTGATGAAGGGGCAGGCAGTACAGCAGGCTGCTGGTTCAGAGGATAATGAATCCAAGATCGGCAGATAAAGACAACAATCCCAAGATTGGCAGGCAATATGGCAGACCACTGGTTCAGCTTCAGGAACCAGAGATGATGATGAGCTACATGCAGGATCTAGACCCATCAGAAAGCTGGAGAATGTTGCCAGGATGCCTTTATATATTTATATGTCTTTATATATTTTGGAAGCAGGCCACACCCCTGAGCAAACTCCCTTTCAACTGATTTGCTGCTCACAGAATATCTCATCATGGAAGTGCTTGCATTACATCAGATCTCATCATAGGGGATGACTACATCACAACTGCTTAAAACCACTTAGAATCATGGTCCAGCCAAGTTGACACACAACCTCAACTACAATGGAATATAATTAAATTGACTATTTGCAATAAATTAAGAGGAATAAGAATATGAGGTCCAACATTAAAACAATTATAAACAAACTTAATATCTCTTGATACAGATTACAAGTTTTCCAAAAGAATTATAATAGATTGAAATGTCATCAGGTAAGCTGTTTAACACCTCATTTTCATTGATAAATCATTTTAAGTCTCATTAATTAATGAAAGTTCAAAGACTGACAATAACACTACTGAAATCTAAGAACACGGAAAGTCTCAATCAATATGGAGAGTAGGGATTACAATTTTAATGGCTTTTAAATTTTATACTTGACTATTATTTAATTATTCATTTATTAAATCAATTAATCTCCCAGATTTGAATTTGTTAGAAGGTGGAGGTGACTAGAGGTGAAGGACAAGAGGCCCCAGAACTTGGGTGTTCATGGTGCAGGCCCAGGATCAGCAGCGTCAGCATCACCTGGGAGCTTGTTAGAAATACAAACTCCTGGGCTCCAGCCCAGACCTTCTGAATCCAAATCTGTATTTTAACAACAGCTCCAAATGATTTTAGGCACATTAAACTTGGATAAGCAATGCTCTAGACAATAAGAATTGCTACTGCCAGTTGTCTCTGGGTTTTTGCAGAAAAGAAAGTCCATAGTGAATACTAAAATCATGAATCTAAAGACAGCAAAAAGCCTTCTGTAATTTTAATTTAGCTGACTCTTTTGAAAACATTCTTGATAGCACAGCCTGCCATATATATATATATATATATATATATATATATAAGAGTTTTATGACTGTTTAAATATAAGCTTACGGGGTATCTCACAACAACTCAGGCCCACCCCTTTTCAAGTACAGATATTAATTCTCGACGGCACATAACAACAACAACAAATAGCTGCTAAGAAAATCTTTACCAGAAAGATGTTTACCTGTGTTTTATTGACAAAGGCATTTAACTGTGTGGATCATGACAAATTATGGACAACATTGTGGAGAATGGGAATTCCAGAACACTTAATTGTGTTCATAAGGAACCATACACTAAGAAGTAGTCATTTAAACAGAGCAAGGGAATACGGCATGATTTAAAATCAGGAAAGGTATATGTTAGGGTTATATCCTTTCACCATACTTACTCAATCTATATGCTGAGCAAATAATCCAAGAAGCTGGACTATATGAAAAAGAATGTGGCATCAGAATTGAAGAAAGACTCATTAACAATCTGAGATATGTAGATGACACAACCTTGCTTGCTGAAAGCAAAGAGGACTTGAAGCACTTACTGATGAAAATCAAAGACTACTGCCTTCAGTATGGATTACACCACACCATAAAGAAAAGAAAAATCCTCACAACAAGACAAGTAAGCAGTATCATGCTAAATGGAGAAAAGACTGATGTTGTCAGGGATTTCACTTTACTTGGATCCACAATCAACACCTATGGAAGCAGCAGTCAAGAAATCAAACAACATATTGCATTGGCCAAACCTGTTGCAAAAGACTTCTTTCAAGTGTTTAAGAGCAAAGATGTCACTTTCAACACTAAGGTACACCTGATCCAAGCCATGATATTTTCAATATCCTTTTATGCATTTGAGAGCTGGACAATGAATAAGAAGCAAAGAATTGATGCATCTAAATTGTGGTGTCGGCAAAGAATATTGAATGTACATGGACTGCTAGAAAAACAAACAAATCTGTCTTGGAGAAAGTATAATGGGAATGCTCCTGAGAAGCAAGAACAGCCAGACTTTGTCTTTCATACTTTGGTCATGTTGTCAGAAGGGACCAGTCCCTCAGAAGGATATCCTGCTGGGTAAAGAAGAGGGTCACAGAAAAGGGGAAGACCCTCAATGAGATGGAGTGACACAGTGGCTGCAACAATGGGCTCAAGTATGGCAACAATTGTGAGGATGGTACACGACTCGGCAGTGTTTTGTTTTGCTGTACACAGGGTCATTATGAGTCAAAACCAACTTGAGAGCACCTAAAAACAACAATAAGTAACTAATGGAGTGTCTGATATCTAATAGTCTCTATATATGATTCTTCTTTTTAAAATTGTGATTTGGGTGAAGATTTACAGAGCAAATTCACTTTCCATACAGCAGTTCACGTATACTTTGTCTCATGACATTGACCACAGTTTACCACAATGGAACAGCTCCCCTCCCACTTCCTCCCCATAGTTACCTCTTCCCTGTGTCCATCCTTCCATGGATTCCTGCCCCCTGAGCTGTCTCCCTGTGCATAAACAGCCCTTCTTTCTCCCATGATTGTTCTCTCCAAGGAGAGTATATAGATGATTCTTCAACACTCTTCCCTAAAGTTCCTCTTGTCAAGAATGAAAATAACTTGCTCTCTATAAGGCTTAAATTCCTTGAAAAGAGTCTACCCATATCATTTTTTCTTAGTTAGCATTTTGATCCAGTTGCATCAGAACCATCAATATTTGGGGAACTATTAAAAATGCAAATACATGGCCTCAACTCAGTCCTCTGAATCAAAATCTCTGGCATGAGGCAGTAGTTTTCAGCCTTGGCTGAACAGTGGAATCACCTAGAAAACTTTAAAAAACATTGATGCTTTGGTCCCATCCCCAAAAGATTTTTATTTAATTGGCCTGGAATAGATAGCCCTGGCATTGAGAACCACTGAATAGATGCTTCAATAAATACTGATCTCATTATACTGTCAGCCACTTTATGTGGAAAGAGAAGTGGCCTATGGTTAGAATATACACAGTCAATAAAAGGATCTCTGGTGGCATAGTGCCTAAGGCATTTGACTGCTAACCAGAAGGCTGGCGGTTCAAACCCACCAGCTACTCCTCGGAAGGAAGATTGGGCAATCTACTTCCACATTGATACCACCTTGGAAACCCAAGGAGAGGTCACTATGAGTCAGATCCAACTCCAAGGCACAGTCAATAAACAGTGGTAAATGGCTTGACCAGCTGCTCAAGGGCCTGGAAAAAGATCAATAGATCAGAGATAAGGAGGTCTGGGGTAGGATAGACCTATGGGAGTGGTTACAAAGTGGATATGAAATTTGCATATTAACACCACTGAAGAGAGTCTACCACAGAAGGGGTACTAAACAACCAGGAGACAAAATGACTTGGAGTTAAAAAGCAAAGTTATCACTTTGATGACTAATATGAGCCTGACCCAAGACAAGGTCTTTTCAATCACCTCATATGCATGTGAAAGCTGGACAATGTGAAGGAAAGACAAAAGAACTGATGCATTGGATCTGTAGCGTTGGGGAAGAATATAGAACTATGGACTGCCAGAAGAATGAACAAATCAGCCTTCGAAAAAAATACAAACAGAATGATCCTTGGAAGTGAGGATGGTGAGACTCACTTATTTTGGACACGTCAGGAAAGGACAATAGCTAGGAAAGGACATCATGTTTCATAAAGTAGGTGGTCAGCAAAAAGAGGGCAACACTCAGTGAGATGGATGAAGGAGGAAACAATAGACTCAAGCATACCAACAATCATGAAGATGGCACAAGGTCAGGCAACATTTCATTATGCTACACATAAGGTCTCCCTGAGTCTGAACCAACTTGAGGGTGACTAACAACATTAAACAAAGTAGCTATGGTGGCAGGGGGGAAAGCTATGCCAGGTCCCGAAACATGGGCTTCCAGTTATCATGACTAGTGCTGCTGCTGAAGTTCAATCTACCAACTGAACCTCCAATATAGCATTGTAATTGGAGGAGACCAACCAGCTTCTTTGAAGCAAATTGACTATATTAAATTCCTTTTATACTAGAAATAGCAGTAATTCATTTTACTAAAATCAACACATATCCTGAGTATGGATTTGCCTTCCTGCCCATAGTGCCTCAGCCAGCACCACTCACTGGGGCCTTTCAGAATGTTTGATTCACTGGCATGAGATCCCACATCACATGGCATCCAACCAAGAGAAGCACTGTGATGGGGGAGTGGGCACAAGACCATGGGACCCTTAAATCATATGTCATATTACACCCACCCTGCTTATCATTACTCCCAGTGAAACTGGGAGAATTTGTATTTCCTGTCACTGCAAATCTGAGTCTGTAGAGAAATTCTGGTTCCCAAAGGAGAAACGCTTCCATCAGGAGACAGCAAGAATCCCACTGAATCATAAATATACCTGCTACCTGAGCACAGGTAGTCTGTGGGTAGTATCTT